GAGCAACAATTTGATATACATTACTTTTGATTTGCATTGGCATTGCCATTACCAGTATTTCCACAAGTATTGCTTTTTTCATAAGACAAGTTTGGCTATATAATTTGGGTGTGCATTATAAATAACATTGGTATTTAATATAAGTTAGTTTAAGAATATCGATGAGAAGAATCTAGATTCTGATGATGCCAAAAATAAAAATTGGCGAAACGTTAATTTAATGGTATAATTTCAAATTAAATCAATAATACCTAGAACCAAAATTCCAATAATACAAAAAAAATATATTTATATTATGAATAACATTATATTTCAATTAAAATATAAACGTTTTTGCAGATAGTTTTTGTGCCTTGTAACAAAAGCAGCATAGATAACAAATATGCTTTCTGTTTCAATACATATAAGTATGGAATTAAATTTATTTTAACCAAAAATAAAATGAAAAAAAAAATAAAAGTTATGCTTGGAGTTCCGTAACCGTAAGACGTAAGCCGTATCGATAGCCGTAAGACGTAATTAATGCCTTACGTCTTCGATTAATAGCTGTTAAATTAAAATCGATTCATAGCTGCCGTAAGACGTAACGATATATTTACCGTAGACATGCGCGTTGGTTTCTATCGGATTCTGCATGTCATTGTCAGTATTGTCATTTATCATTTTTTACGTGTCGTTTATTAATTGTGCTTCTCATCTTCACTTGCATAGTATTTTATTTTATGAAAATTTACCAGTTTTGTTTCTTTAAGTCCTATTAAAATGGATATCGTTAGTGTTATTGTAGCAGGACTTCTATTCTGCTACTTAATTTGTAAACAAAATTGCCATAAAAATCGGCTTGTTAAAACAAGGAAGATAAATAAAGAAAGAGCCACAAAGGGATTTTATAGAGCATATTTTCTTCCCATGAAGGTGAATGATCCTGGGCAGTTCCAGAAATATACTAGGATGTCGGTGAAGGCATTCAACAATTTATTGGATATGTTGATGCCATATTTAACAAAAAGGAGGATATCTGAGGTATTAACGCAGAAGAACGCCTTGCCATAACAGTAAGTATCTTTTAAATTAAGTTAAAAACTATATAATGGGTGCAATTTTACTCGTATATATATATGAAATTCTTTTCATTTTCAGCTACTTTTTTCAAGGAACATCAATGCAAACAATTGCCTGGAAATACCATGTGGGTCACTCTACCTTCCACTACATAATCAAAGAGACCAGTGTAGCCATTTGGGAAGTATTATCCAGTAAATATTTAAGACCCCCAGCTTCACAGGAAGATTGGCTAAAGATAGCAGAAGAATTTGAGAGGGAGTGGAATTTTCCTCATTGTATAGGGGTACTGGACGGGAAACACGTTAAGATCCAGGCCCCTGCAAAAAGTGGCAGTCTTTTTTTTTAATTATAAAAAAACTTTTAGTATTGTGCTAATGGCGTGTTGTGATGCAAAATATAATTTCACTTTAGTTGACATTGGTGCGTATGGAAGTGAAAGTGATGGTGGAATATTTAGCAGTTCTGCATTTGGGACGCTAATAGACAATAACAAATTGTATTTACCCAATTCAAAACGTTTAACCGATAGTGAAATTATCCATCCGCATACGTTTGTTGCTGATGAAGCCTTTCCATTAAAATTCTACATATTAAGTCTCCACCCTGGGAGAGATTTCGAAGATGATAAACGTATTTTCAATTACAGGCTAACACGAGCCCGCAGGTATATTGACAACAGTTTCAGAATTTTAGTTAACCGGTGGAGACTATTAAGAAATGCACTAAATGCCGATGTAAATAATATAGACTTATTTGTCAAGGCAATGGTATGTCTACATAATTATTGCAATAAGGAAACTGCAGTGGATACATATTCAGAGTTGATGGATGTAGAGACTCCTGAAGAGGTGCAGCTCCTTAAATCTGTGGGAAGATTGGCTGCAAACAGATTTTCCCGAATATTATATAATATGAGCGACAATTTAAAAAATTATTTTGTTTTGGTTTTAACTGAGGTAATTATTGAATAAATGTGTGTGAAATTATATTATATTGTTTTATTTATATTAGTGAACTACTATAAAAATACCATAAAATAAAAAAATGGCGTCAGAAATTACTTCGAAATGAAGACCGCTGTCATTTCAAAGCTAACTCGACGCCATTTTTTATTCGATCATATTTATAGGTGTAATAAAAAAATAGTATACACCTGTATGATCAAGTGGTCTTTGAGGCAAAAAAGAACAATGAAATTTCACAATTATTTGCCATACAAAGCATACTTGATCATATTGTGTAAAAACGATACAATATGATCGAAAAAAATGGCGTCAGCATTGGCTATAAAATGAAGATCGCTGTAATTGTATATGTAAAATTATATGGAGACTGTCATCAAGGGTTATTTCCAAGCCAACTGAATGCCGCTTTTTTATCATAGGGTACCACCGATAACAGAATAATTACTTGTGATAAAAATGATCTAAAAAATATGCAACTTATTGCTAACAAAGGTAGGATTTTTTTATGTTCTTTCTATGGGTGGAATAATGTACCGGGTAACCAACTAAGAATGGACGCCGGCTGTATCTCAGAAACTAATTATCGTATAACTTTGGGGAAAAAATTCTAATAAGTAAATCGACCACGAGGAATAGCTGGAAATTATTTTCAAGTTCTAAAAATGTCCGCTAGGGGGCGTTTCTCTGATAGCCAATCAGAAAACAGGGTTTATCTCAAAAATATGCAGGTGAACAGGTATTTTAAATATTACTACTGTAATCTTCGAGAAATTTGTAATTTTTTTGATTAAGACCGTTGGTCGGTAAACGTTTAGGCAGGAATTCTAGGATGGCGAATGATTCGACTTTTTTAATTAACTGAATGAAATAAACTATCCACAATTTCTAAGAAATGAATTGCCAATTTTTTTAGGAGATCCATCGTTGCAATTTCATCAGCATGAATGCAGTTGGTGCAGTTGGGCTACTTATTTTGCTATGAATGCGTGGGGCTTCTTGGATACCACTTACTTTAGTAGATAGAAACGCTGGACCGGCATATTTCCATGGCCAGCTAGGTCATCGGATTTAATATGCCTGGGTTTTAATTTATGGTATCCAATCAAGAATGAACATGGATAAATAATAAGACCATATAATCCTAAGCGGCAGCCTAACATGATTTGTTCTCTTAATATCTCCTGTTAGAGAGAATGTAGAAAGTTGCGGTTTGCGCTGGTATTTTGGAAAATTTGTGCTCTATTTAACTGTTAAACTTAAGAGAAATATAGCCTCATATTTAATTTTTTTATGCAAAAGCGCAATATCTGTTATGATATCAAACAGCGCCCTCTAGCTACCACGAAAAAAAAATTATGGAAACAAAATTTATACTGGAGATCACTAAGGAAGAAAAGCTCTTTTTAACGAGCCCTAGTTTGATTAAATCGAGTAACCTAAACCAGAGTTATCCTTATTTTAATAAAAGCAAGTTTAACCTTCCCCCACCACCTTATTTTATGAAATAGAGAAAATACTCTATAACAAAAAAATTACAAATTTCTCGAAGATTACAATAATAATATTTAAAATACCTGTTCACCTGCATATTTTTGAGAAAAACCCTGTTTTCTGATTGGCTATCAGAGAAATGACGATCTGAGAAATCAGTTTCTCGAACTTGAAAATAATTTCCAGCGATTTCTCTTGGTCGATTTACTTATTAGATTTTTTTTCCCAAAGTTATACGATAAGTACTTTTGAGATACAGCCGGCGTCCATTGTTAGTTGGCCACCCGGTACACATTCATAAAATATTATAACTTTATTCATTAAAAGTTTGATTTAATATCTCAACAATTTTTAATTTTTTATGGTTTTGTTCTCGCAGTGGCATATCGGGTAATGTTAGCCCGACATACTGCCCAAAACTTAATTTTGCGTCCACCACTGACTTTTCTTTAATATAATTTTGTAACAATGATAATGTATTATCTACGGCATTCTTAGAATTTGCCAACTTCCTCTTTACTCCTTTGGAGGTTGACGGTCCTGGTTGCGGTGTGATGGCTTGACTCGATGCCATAGCTAGGCCTAGACTTATTCGGTATTGAGATTTGAACACCGGTGTTAGGTGTTGATGACCACCGGTGTTTCAGTCGGTGTACCGGTGTCAACACCGACACTGGTGTTTATTTCAACACCGGTGTTCATTTCAGCACCGGTGTTTATCTCGACACCGGTGTTCCTCTACAACACCGGTGCTCATCTACAACACCGATGTTTATTTCAACACCGGTATCGCGATGAACAATGATGTAGAGATCAACACCTGTATCGGTGTCGATGGTGCCGTTTGTTTTTTTTTTGTTTTTTTAGTATAATATTTTTTAGTTTATTTTACAGCTACGAATTTTTGTTTCTTTGTTTTGTGTTGTTTCTATTTGTTTTTGATTAAACAATATTTTATTTTATAATTACAGTTGAGGGTTGGAACCTTTGGTGTTCCACAGCAAAATAAAATTACACTAAATCACCACAATACACCAACACACTTTTACTTTTAAACAGGACGCGCGTTTCGCTAAACATGTTAGCATCATCAGCAGAGGATGATAAACTCTCGCAGTTTATAATCATCTGCTGATGATGCTAACATGGTTAGCGAAACGCGCGTCCAGTGTAAAAGTAAAAGTGTTTTGGTGTATTGTAGTGATTTAGTGTAATTTTATTTTACTTTATAGTTGTTTATCTGACGCTTCCACTTTATTTTAGTAATTAGTCTGGCAAAAAAAATATATTTAAATTTGAAAGCTTTAAGTTAAAGTCGGTGCGCTTACATAAACGATAAAAATAAGCACCGATACGACATTATTATTATCAGGTTTATTTTGAACTTATTAATTAACATGAATCCACATCATTAGTTTTCACGCCCACCCATCTTTAACCTAACTCTTCTGTATTATCAGTTGTAAATAATTTACTAACCTAAATTTCTATCTTGCTCATATGTAAATGGTGAACCCATCATAACGCCACCATTGTGCAGCATACTTGCCATTTGCGGGCACAAACATTCAGAGTTAAAGCCAAAATTAGCTGGAACCAAAGGAGGCGGACAAATATACTGCGTACTAGGCGAAAAGCTTTCTTCGCATTGAAAACTAATTTTTGGATCTGTATTTTCATCAACCGTTGCCGAATTAGATGTAGTATTATAAAATGTATCGTCTGCTTTCGAAAGTATATCTGGGGCATCTGTCTTTTCCGAATCATCATTACAATCGCATCGCGCCTTAAATTGTACCTGAAAATATATTAGTTAAATGAGAAAATACGTGTACACGTGTAAAAATTATAAGGAAAATTCCATATTATAATATGTATATTACTAACTAAAGACGCACTCTCACGACTCGTCTACTTGGCAAGTACACCAATATTTGCGTACTTGGCAAGTATTCATTTTTGTCTTCCTTTCAGATCACTTTACATAATCCTAAAATATGAGTAAATCTATTTCGAAAGTTTCAGAGATATTGAAAAATAAATCAAAAATATATATTTTTCAACCCTTTTATATTTTCAAACCAAAAATATTAAAAATATAAGAACTGTTCTGAAATCAAAACTATATTAGATATTTACTTTAGATGGTCTGTTCTTACTTTGCTATAAATATGGTAATCGTAAATCATACAGGATGTTCAATATTTTAGGCCAAACTTTCAAAAATATAAAATAATTTTTCTTCGTTTTTTTAAATGGTTTTATTTGATGGAGAATTAAAAAATTAACATTTTTTGTATTTAAAGTATTTCAAAATTTTTAATAGCTTTCCGGATACACGCAGTATTATTTCATATGGCGCTTTCAATGGTAAAATACGAAAGAAAAATCATTGGGTGGCTTTGATAAAAATTTACTCTGGAAAATGCCATATGAAATACAAAACCGGGAATATCTGCGAAACCGTTAAAAATTTTGAAATACTCTAAAGGCAAAAAATGTTCATTTTTTTAATTCTGTATCTATTGAAAAAATAATATACAGGGTGTTCCATTTAAAAATCAAAGAAAAATTAGTTTATATTTTAGAAAGTTTGGCGTAGAATTTTGAACATCCTGTATGATTTACGATTGCCATATTTATTACAAAGTAAGTACAGACCATCTAAAGTAAACATCTAATAGACAGTTCTTATATTATTAATATTTTTTTAAGAAAGATTGAAAAATATATAATTTTTATTTATTAATATCTCTGAAATTATCGAAATATATCTACTCATGTCTTAGGATTATGTAAAGTGATCTGAAAGGAAGCCAAAAATGCAGTATGATACAGGGTGTTCCATTTAAAAAAAATCATCCCGATCCACTCACACTTTTTTGAGCCACCCTATAGAAGTTAAAATATTTTCCTGAAATACATCCTAGTACATATCTTAGGTTTGCACTTAAACAAAGTTTTTTATTTAAGGAGCTACAGATGCCCGACACACTATTGCCAGACCCTGTACATCATTATAAACCATAGAGTTAAAAATTAAATTATAAACCATACAATATCTGTATATTTTTTTTTTCATATCTTCGACAACAAGGACAGTATTTATTGGACTTCCTCATACTCATGGGCCACCCTGTGTATAAAAAACCTCATAGCAGCATTTTGTTTCTTTAATACCGTAAAAAAATCATTTCTTTTTTAATAGAATTTTGTCAAAATTTGACGGTCGATATTTTATGAGCAATTTGGTCTGGTCAAGAAAAAACTCACAGTTGAAAATTTGGAATTGCTAAAAACCGACTCTTCGTTATCTGCCTCGCTACTAGTATTGTAATTGAATTTCGGCGACATCGTCGGGCCCATGATATCAATAATTGTTTGAACCTCCTCTTTTAATTTACTCGGCGTTTTCCAAACTTCATCAGATTCTAAAAAGTTCGCGTGAATTTATTAAAAACAATGCAATTATTTAAATTTACCAGAAGTCGTCATATCGCTATCTGGAGTCATTTCAGTCGCGTCGGTGCAAACTCCTTTGGAAGAATTAGCATCTTTCTTTTCCTTGTTCCTAGCCATTTTTATATTACAATTCTTATTTGGTGAATAAATTTATATAGGTATAAAAGTTATATAAATAATATAATGTCTATTGACATGTGACAAATAGTATATTAAAAATGTTTATAACCTTTTTTAATAAAACACAGAAGACATATTTCAGCCACTCGGTTTAAATATCTGCTTATAAAATGAAACTTCGAAGTCCCTGTAGCGCAGAGGATAGCGCGTTGGACTTCTAATCCAAAGGTCGTGGGTTCGATCCCCACCAGGGATGTGTCGAACTTTTTTATTTTTTTTTTATCATTAATTATTTATTCCGTCATACATAATACCAATATTGGACATTAAAAATACTATATTGTTTTATTAGGAGTAAAAATGATACTTTTTGAGGCGAGGCTGTACGTTTGACATTACAGGCGAGGCACAAAAAGTCATTTTTACTCCGAATAGAATATGCTATTTTTTTTTTGAAACGTCACAAATAATATAAAAATATATGAAAGTAATACGTTGTTAGTTGTAGTATTATACAGGGTGTTTCAAAAAACATGTGCCATCTCTGGTGGGGAGGTTTCTCAGGTAAAAATAAGATTTATTTTTCATGTCAACATAGGTCCGATTCTGTGTTGTTTAGTAGCTACAGGGTGTTAAAGTTTTAATATTTCTTCGATTTATTTTAATTTTCGTCCAAGTTCTTTTAGCGTTTCGAATGAAACTTTGAGGACACAACTTACTATAAATGCGACATATTTTAAAACTAAAAGTGTCGACCTATCCACCAGTGACGTACATATGGGTTTTCACTGGAATATTTTTCTAAAAAAAGATCTACGCCACTGACTTTTTTTCTCTTGTTAGCGAAATAGTGTAAGCAGTTTAATGTCGATTAAAAGTTGTCTCTTGATATTTTGTGGATTTCGGGCTCCTTGATGAGATAAACACAATTTTATTAATTTGCCTTGATCCAAGTAAAAAAATTAAAATCATTAAACATTAACTTGAGAAAGTTTTAAATAAGTACTCATTGACTCCTCATCAAAAATATTAAAAAAAGTTCCTATAAATATGGATATGGAAATGCATAGTTTTATAGGTACAGGATGTTAAATCTTTATAAAATTAGGTTTTTTGTAATTATATTTTTTATTCGAAATTGCTGTAGGTTGGGCTAATAGTAATAATAACTAATAGTAATAATATTTAATAATAAATTAGTTAAAATATATAATTTATTAAATTAATTTTTATTTTAATTTTATTAATTTTATTATAATTAATAAAATTGCGTTTATCTCATCAAGGAGGCCGAATTCGACAAAATATCTAGAGATAACTTTTAATTTGCATTGAACGGCCTACACAATTTGGATATCAAAAGCAAAAAAATCAGTGGCGCACCTGTTTTTTTTTGAAAAATATTCCAGTGATAACCCATATGCACGTCTTTGATGAATTTATCGACACTTTTTTAGCATTAAAATATGTAGCGCTTATAGCAACTTTTACCCTCCAAATTTCATTCAAATCACTAAATACATACATACATACTATAACATAATCACTAAAAGTACTTAGAAGAAAATTAAATCGAAAAAATATTTAGAATTCAACACCCTGTAGCTATAAAATAAACCAGAATCGGACCTATGTTGATATGAAAAATAGGTAGATCTTATTTTTACGTGAGGAATCTCACCACGAGAAATGACACATATTTTTTGAAACACCCTGTATATCAAGAATATATGGTTCCGCTCGTCAATTTAATTTTCATAATATACCTCGTAATATACCGTATGTACCCGGATTGTCTTTACAAGGGGAAAAACTTTTTGTATTATTAACTTTCTGAGAAAAATATATTCTTCATAAAAGTATATGCTTGCTCTAAAATGGCTATCCCCGTTTATACTTTTAACAATTTTCTATACCGTTTTAGAGAAAAATAAAATATGAAAATGTAGAATTTTTACTAAAAATAGTATCTATGATCATATCATTTCGATTTCATTCTCTTATAAATGGTAATTATATTTTGGCTTCGTCTCGTAAATAGATAGAGACGTAGTGCTTCGTAAGTGCTACTTTGCCACACATTTTAAAGACAAAACAATGCCACCCTGCCTGTCCCCCACTTATCCACCGCTTCGTCTCATCGGTCGTCGTCAGTTTTCGTTTTTGTGCTGAGGAAGTCACACGTAAAAATGCCAAGGCGCTCTCGCGACAGGTCGAGGCGTGAAAAAACAAAACACAGGCGGCGTTCCCGTACTAGATCAAGGTCCAATAATGGAGGCCGCTTGGAAGAAATTTTGGGAGATATTTCAAGGCGGTTGGCTAGATTAGAAAAATCAACTTTAATTGGTAAAAAAAATTACTTTTATTGGTAAAATGATTAAGGAAGGATATTATGTGCTATTATTCAAATAGCAGAACCGTTAAAATAAATTAATTGATTAATGATTTTAATAAAAATATTAGTGAAATATTTTTTAAAATATTTAATACGTTATTAGTGAAATAACGTGGTGGTATGGTTTTTTGGTACCTACTGTTTAATAATGCCTAGATACTAATGAAGCTGTTCTCCATTGTTGCAGGCATTGCAACTAGTTCCATTGGGTACAGTGAAATACCTTCTGATACCCACACCCCATCACCTTCTTCTGAGGTAGAAGTTGAGCAGGAACTGGACGTTGTCTCAGGAGCCAACACCAGATGTTACTACACTAGAGACAACAATAGACATTAGTTCTCAGGCTCAGACCCCGGACGTTATTTCGTTGCTTGGGGAGGACCCTTTAGCCCCTAAGATAACTGGGGTACCCTTTCATAAAGATCTGGCGACTAGATGGGATGGTCTACTAAAAACTGGACTACAAGAGGACATTAGGAAGAAGTTTATTGAAAAATATCCAATCCCAGATAATTGTCCCCTGTTATGCCCCCCAAAGTTAACCCGGAGGTGAATGCTGCGGTACCTCCGCAAACATTGCGGAGAGACGAGCGGTTAGCATCGAGGCAAGAACAAATTGGAGCTAGCCTAGCGGCGATTGGGGGTGTCATTACGGGCCTTTTGGAAGAAGGAGGGAGGCACAACCTAAAACGAATAGAGGTTTTAAGCGACGCGGGGCGGCTCCTCGCAGACGTACATCATGCGGAATCGAATTCACGCAGGGAACTTCTTTCCATAAATTTAAATAAATCGCTCAAGGACCCTTAAACAATGTCAGTGGTGATGGCTGGCTTTTTGGTAGTAACTTGGACGAAAGAGTCAAAACCTCCAAAGAACTGGAAAAGGCTAGCGCCCTACTCAAGGCAACAAAGACGGCGCCTTTTAAGAAGCCGGCCACATCAGGTTTGTTAAACTACAAGGGTCCACTTCGGAGAAGTACGGGGATTTTTCGAAGTGGACCCCAACAGCTTCCACCGAAGAATCAATACAGGCCAGCACGCCAGGGCCCAGTTCAGAGAGCCAGGTCTTACAACCTACCAAAGAAGAGCAAACGGCAGAGGGACGAGAGGCGATAAGCCTGGACCAGGTTAGTACACCATCGCCAGCCGGTAGGCTCAAACAATTTTTTAATCGCTGGTGCAGTATTTCTGAGGATAAGCATGTCTTATCATATGTTCAGGGTCTTTCGTTACCGTTTTTAAAATATCCTAAACAAATAATTGCACCTAAAGAAATTAGACATTCTAATAGTGAATTTAGAAAGATATCTGATTGTATAGAAAAGTTAATTGATAGGGGCGTAATAATTGAGGTGAAGCCAAGTAAAGGCCAATACGTGTCGCATATTTTTACTAGACAGAAAAAAGACGGCTCCAGTCGTTTAATACTTAATTTAAAACCGTTGAACGAGTATTTAAAAAGTTTTCACTTTAAATTAGAAGACCACAAAACTGTAGTAAAATTAATTAATCAAAACTGGTACATGGCTACACTAGATCTAAAAGATGCCTATTTTGCTGTGCCAATAAACATTCACCATCGTAAATTTTTAAGATTTTAATTTAATGACCGTCTTTTTGAATACACTTGCATACCGTTTGGGTTAAGCTGTGCACCCTTGGTCTTTACTAAACTTATGAAATCGATTTTAACTTACCTCAGGCATCAGGGGTACATTTCTAATTTATATTTAGATGATTTTTATTAGTTGGACGCACTTTTCAAGACTGTAAAGATAACATTAACGCTACAGTAAAAATACTTACGGAATTGGGATTTCTAATTAATTATGAAAAAAGCAATCTTACTCCGGGGCACGCAGTTACATATTTAGGATTTACATATAATTCTATAAACATGTCAATATCACTGCCTCAGGATAAAGTAACAAAACTGTTAACTCTTATACATAGATTTATTAATATGAAGTCCTGCAAAATAAGAGATTTTGCAAGATTTATCGGTACGTTAATTTCTGTCTGCCCAGCAGTAAGATACGGTTTTTTGTATACCAAATTATTCGAAAGGCACAAAATTCTAGCTTTGTCCACCGGCGATTATGATTCAATAATGCAACTACCGATAAATCTGCAAAATGATTTTATATGGTGGCTCAATCACGTGGCCATTGCAAGATAAGAAGCTTATAAGATTAGACACTTTCGTGATAGAAATATTTTCGGACGCATCTTTGACGGGTTGGGGTATTTATTGTGATGGTGTTAAATCTCGGGGTTTTTTTGGTCAGTTTCGGAAACTCAACTTCATATTAACCATCTAGAACTTTTGGCAGCCTTTTTTGGACTAAAATTTTTCGCACGAGATTTACGGGATACAAATATATTATGCAGAATAGACACCACTGCGATTGCTTGCATCAATCGAATGGGTAGAATTCAACACCCTTATCTTAACTCGTTAACTAGATTGATCTGGCAATGGTGCGAAGCGCGTGGGTTATTTATTTTTGCGTCGTATATAAAATCCGAGGAAAACGTAATTGCTGACCAAGAATCAAGAGTGTTAAAAATGGAAACAGAATGGGAGCTCTGCAGCATGGCATATACCAAAGTTATTCATGAGTTAGGAGAACCTGATATAGATTTATTTGCCAGTAGAAATAATAAAAAATGTAAAAGGTTTG